AAATCAAAAGGAATCATCCAAACATACCTGGAAAATACCAATAGCAGCCATGACGATGCATCCTAACTCCCAGTATTCGTTCATACCATAAACACTAAACCATAAATAAGCCCATCCTGCATACAAGAAAATAAATGGTCCGGCATATGCGTGTGCAATTATTGGCTTCACTGTATATGGGATGTATGAGTCAATAAGCTGGTCAACGGCCATTGTTCACTATATTGCTTACAAATCCAGCTGAATCTGGAAAGAGGGAAAAATTCTGAACATTCACCTCCCGAGGCAGTAACAGTTCGAAAACTTAGGTTAATTCACAAGGTTGATTCTTCATTTCATTGCCTTATGGATAAAGGACAAGAGAGTCAGTTGAGCCCACTTTGCAAAAAATCGATAACTTCTTTAAAGGTTTCCAGAGGTTAATGTCACTATAACTGTACATTCATTTCGTGAACACTTATATATTTTGAAAGTTCAAGTCCATTCAAGGGTAGGACATTAGGCAGCACAATCACAAACAAGAAAGCACCTAAAATCAGGAAGGATTTCACTCTTCTCAGTATCTGAAAATTCCCAGACAATTGTACAAGTCGACCATAAGGAAAACACATCTCCCTCGTTACCATTACTCAGTCCTTGTATGCACCGGTCGACTTGCATTACCTGCAAGTGGTAACGCTGTGCAACACTACTTCATAGTGTCGTATATCCGGATTTTCCAACCAGATTTTCAATAGTCCTAGTTGGGTGTAGTTCTCAAACGGAAAAGTTGATGTTAGCACTCAATAACCTACGATGTTAGGTGGCGCAAGGGGGCAGAAATAATACAAGGGAAAATAAGCTAGCCTCACGCTACGAGTTCTGAAGTCCAGTGCAAAATAGGAGATACACGTATTATAAAAATTATGCCATTAAACGCCCAAGTAATGCTGTCTGCATTTGCCGAATACTAAACTTTAAGTAGCAAATTGGGTGCGTTTGTGTAGATGAGTTCGAAGTGAAAGCTAGATTAATGTGTAACCAGTCCAGCAACTTTCTAACTCCGCCGAAAAAGCTAGACTTAATTGGCAGTAAATTGTGCAAAGATGAACTATAGGGCAGTGTGAACGTTTGGTAAAGTGAGCAAGAATGATGGAATTAAAAGAATATAGGACTAAGGTTTAAACTGTCGGTTGAAAACTATATGGGTGACCACCAGAAGTTCGTTTTGGTTTTTTGACAGTAAAGTGGCACATGACCATGAATGTTGGATGTAACCGCTTTCAAGTCCGCGTCTCTGAATTTAGGCCAAGTACGCTTCAATTTAGGAATCAAATACATTTCGAACCACTAAGGTTTTTTTAACAGCTTGTATTATCTTTTCAGATTTACCCAAGATAACACACGTGTAACACAGGGAGATCGAAATAAAATACAAAACGCCACAAGGGCTGAAAAGCAAATCTCTCCAATTTACACAAGATTACTTGATAACTTCATTAAAAAACTGTTTCGGAATCTTGTAGTGGTATGTGGTCCCATTAAAATCCTTTTCCGTTAAAATTCCTTCAACACACTCTCGGAATTCTCGAGAATTTTTAAATCCTTCGAGTTCTTTTTATTCACATGATTCCATTAAATATTTAAGTAATCGTAGAAAACTTAGTCTTGAAATCCGAACTCCGACAGGCGCTAGCTGAATCGAAATTGGGATTTATGGGAAAGATTCAAGAATGACTTTTCTCTCTCCACATATAGTCAATGTTAATTCAGCAGAAAATCTGATTCTTCGTAACTGATGAGGATCCTGAAACACCATAAACAGAAATGAGCCAGAGAAGAACTGACAGCCCAACAAAATGTAAAATTAATGGGGAAATGCCAATGTCCTCTCACTTTTAAATACGCTGATCACACTTTGCATGACAACAGCAGATCCGCCACGACTTTTGGCTACAAGGAATTTTAAACGGCTGCAGTTAATGATTCTTCCGCGGTTGCATACAAATCGACAGCTGTACAGCGCACACAAAGAAAGTAGTGGTCTACAGAGACCGAACGGATGTTATGCTTTCACTTGCGATGTCAACCGTTACTATTACATACAATTCACCCAGTGACCAAGCGACCCAACGGCATAGCTCCCACTCTTTCGTTTCCTTACCTTCACACACTAATTATAAAATCTTGGAGATGATTTAATAAAATTTGGCTCATACAGTAATCCATAAGTTTTATCTGACGAAGCACATTGTTGACTTCCTAGCCACAAATCTTTTCTGGACATTCCCACCACTGTTTTGACAAGCCAAGAAGGCAACCTGTATTGATGTGTCACATTGCGCGCAAAGGTATGTACTGCAAATGACACATACATACACACACGCAGACACGTACACGTGCACAGCGTACACATGCTCATATATATATGTATACATATATACATGTATATATATATGTGTATATATATATATATATATGTATATGCGTGTGTATGGGGTGCTGCTCTTATCCAACGCTGAGTCGGCTGGGAGCAATGATAGTGACAGCAGAGTACTCTCTTCCCTCTAGGCTTTTGCACATCCATCCTATATGTCTGTATGTCTGTATGTATGTATATATGTACGTATGCATATATGTATGTATGCATGTATATGTGTGTATATATATATTTGTGCATATGTGAATGAGTATCGATTGGTCGGCGTTAGATGATGTAGCCACTGGTGAGGGGCGAGCACGCATGAAAGTTTGCTTAGTGAGTGGGGAGCGATCGGAGACAGGTGGGCCGGCCCACCTTAATTGTGGGTGATGCTTACCTTTCTTTCAGCGGTTCGGTTGTATGGGGCGGGGGGAGCGAGAATTCTTTCCAGGAAATGACTGTATTGGAAATTGGTTGTGCTGAGGGCATGTTACTCTTATCGAGTATCATATAGTTTCTTCATCAAAAGTTTCTCCAAACGGTCAGTTTCTGGTTGTATTATTATTATTATTATTACTATTATTGTTATTATTATTATTACTATTATTATTATTATTGCTATTGTTACTATTATTATTATTACTATTATTATTATTACTATTATTATTATTACTATTATTATTATTACTATTATTATTATTATTATTATTATTATTATTATTATTATCATCATTATTATTATTATTATTATTATTATTATTATTATTATTATTATTATTATCTATTATTATTATTATTATTATTATT